CAAAACTTATAAGAAAAATTCAAAACATGTGCTCTCCGCCACAGGCCCCAGGCAAAGGCTGGATTGTGTTAGCGGTTTAGTGTTTACAAAACATACCACGCAATTTTAAGCGCTTTTTTCGCGTAAAACTTTTGTACTTTCTACTAGCGCAAGGTTCGCCGGCATCTGTGAGTATTTTCTTAGCCATTGAGGTCATCTCTTAATTAGCCGTTAGTGCTTCAGATTTCCTTTTGCACGCGGTCACATGTGCCTCTATCACGCAAAGAGCTCAGATTAGATCTCAGCTCCCAAGAAAATACAAGCAAATGAAAGTACAAGTGCCAAGCTTTTTGGCAATAGTAGCGGAAGTTGGAGTTGTTTTTGGAGTCTGTAGACGTTGTAACAAGAAGGCAATGGTGATCGAAGACTCCTGGAACTCGTCTCTCAGCGAGTCTGTCAGGCTCGCTAAAATTTAGTTGTCTTTGCCGCGAAGGAAATAGCTTGCAGTGGAAGGGTATTATTATCAAGATGAGTTAACGCTACCAACTCGCGATTGTTTATTCGGCCGGCCATGTTTCATTTGGAGTTAAAATGGACGGTGGGGGAAGAGGCGGGCGAAAGGCGAGAAGAACATCCCCTCCCTTCCTCTCCCTTTTGACCGTTGTCGACACGTCCACTTTTTCGTAACTGGCTGATGAATTTGCTCATGGCATGTTGGAAAACCCGAAATAGTGATATGCATTTCTCAAGTTTATGTATATTACAAGACAAGAAATGCACCACTATTAAAAAGACGTGAGAACAGTTCAGCAGTAGATTGCTGGCTTTAATTATCATCATTTTATTTACAGCCCAATGTTGCTTATTACATTGTTCGATATTTTGGTACGAGAGAAAATGAACAGGTCTTAAACCGTTTAAGGTAGTCTGGCAACTACAAGATTTTCTTTGTTGGTTTGAGGTCAGAGCTTAAAAATATAAAAATGTTTTAAGACCATTAAAAACATATTTCTGAACAGAAGTGAATAGTGACTAACCACGGCTGTATTCTTCCCTTCTTACAAGAGGTAAATAAGATTTATATATTTGATACATTCTCGTTACAGAGAGTCCATAAGTATTGCTTCCCCTTACAACATGAAAATGAATTCAAAAGTTTCCTCCAAGAAATTCTTACGAGGTCATTCGCTACCTGTTACATGCATCGGTGGAATGACAGCTTCGTTATAAGATTAGTAATGAATACTTGCAGAAAGTAACAAAAGTAAAATTCTCTGCACAAAACAACTGGGTAAAGTATACTGATTAATACAAATAACAAAATTTAACAGAGTTGGCTCTTGTTGCTTCTTATACCATACTTGTCATTAAAGAAATTATTTTCCTTAACCCATAACTAGTTTTCTAAAGATAATGTATCTTTCGAAGATTCTAATTTACAACACATGTCAATCTGAACTATACAATATGTAAATATGCGAGAGCAATCAGTCTAGATTTGAATGGTTAACGAGTCCAGTGGTGGGATTGTAGCAACTTCATGAAATACTTTATGCGAATACTTATTCTTCACAGTCATCAAGTTGTTGTTAGCTGGTGCACTGTTCATTGCATTAAGCTGTAACACGCACTCGCATAATTTGTCCTTGCTGTAGCCTGTGTAATGTACCAAAGTGGCTGTCCATTCTCCACAATTCTTCATTATCATTGCCAGGTACAGGCAAGATGAAGCCATTAGAGAGGCTCTTTTTGAAATAAATTGACATTCAAGAAGGGAGGACTCCAGAAGATAACGTGCCAATGTGAGTGTTTCAATGCTCACAAATGCAGCCTGAAATCAAGATCGATAAATGTTATTAATTCAATGACAACAGTTGTACCACTCTCAAGAGCAAATGATGCATAGCAGGTCACCTGAAGGTGTAGAATGCAACTCGAACTGGCGTTTTACTAGAGTGTTGTTATGAGCTCAGGGGTTTAAAAATCTTTGAGCAGAGTCAGAAAATAACATTCAAAATTTACATTTCATGCACTTTGTCCAATAACAACTTTGTTGTTTTTTTTTTTTACCTTTGCATATCGTCTGAGGAATCTGTAAGGAATGGGGATGTTAATATCAAATCCCAAACTGGACATTATTTTAGTTTCCATTGCAATAAACTGCTGTTGTTTATATGCATCATCACAGATGTAAATCAAGTCGTCCATGCATGGTGGATGTCGCTCCTAGTGTGAAATAAAGTTAGATTCGATGAATGTAGTATTTTCAACTTAATACAGAAATAGTTATGTTGAACCTCAGGTATCCAGTCAAGTTGCCGACGGTTGAACTCGCCAACGCCAACTCGCCGACGTATAAAATCGAGTAGAGACGTCGGCGAATTGGTCCTCAAATCCAGTACGACTTATTAGAAGTTAAACATGTAGAAAAGTAAACGTTCATTAGTAAAAAACATTCTTTTTCTTCCAACAAATTTTAGATGGATCTCAACGCGAATAAAGCATGATAAACATCGCCAATTACTATAATAGCAGCTTCAGACGCGAACGAGTTAGTTATTGTGACAACGACACAGTAAAGACTCATCATGATTTTTTTTTCCACAAAACTTGGCTTTCAAGACAAGAGCTTTAGTAAAAAGCAATTCTTTTTATTTCCTAAAAAGTTTACAACAGTCTCAAGGCTAACAAAGCAAGATAAACATCGCCAATTACCATAACAGCTTCAGACGCGAACGAGTTGTTGTGGGCAACAGCCCTGTAAAGCCTCGTCATGACGATCGACTAGATTTTTTAAAGAAAACTTAGCTTTCTAGACAAGGATTTCATGGCGAGCAAAGAAAGGTAAACATCGCCAATGACTATAACAGCTTCAGACGCGAACAAGTGAGTGTGCAACAACACCGTAAAAACTCATGTTTATCGGTCAAATTTTTTTTTAAGAAAACTTAGCTTTCTAGTCGAGATATTTTTTAAACAAACAATTCTTTTCATTTCTAACGATGTTCTTAAGGATTTAAACGGGAATTAAAGAAGATAAACATCGACAATGACTGAAAGTAAAAGCTTCAGACGGGAACGAGTAGTAACCGGTCGAGTCACCCGAAAGTGATCTCGCTCGAGGTCTTATTGCCCGATATTTTGAGTCACGTCGCCTGAACTTTTATCGAGTGTTTAAACTTGAAGTAAAGTAACATATTAAGTAAATCGTAGGGAATAAACACGTAAAATGTTGACACGTAAAATGTTGACTCGTAAACTGTTTTGGTCGGTTAACCAACAAGACTCAAATACCACGTGGAAATTGATGTGGTTGTCACGCAATAGCTCGTTCGCGTCTACAGCTTTTTTTGATCATTGGCGATGTTCACTTTGCTTTATTCGCTTCGAGATCGTTTTAAACTCTGTAGCAAATAAAAACAATTGTTTTCACTAAATATCTTGTCTAGCAAGCCAATTTTTTTTTTAAAAATCTGACTGACAGGATGTCAGTATTTATGTTGTTGTTACACTTACTCGTTCGCGTTTGAAGCTTTTATAGTCGTTCCCGATGTTTATCTTGTTTTATTCACCTTGAGTTGCTTATAAACTTCGTTGGAAATAAAAATGATTGTTTTCTAGTAAAGATCTTAAGCTGAGTTTTCTTTACAAAAATCTGACCGATTGAGATGATGAGTCTTTGCGGTGTTCATGTCAAACAAAACAAATAACTCGTTCGCGTCTGAATCTGTCATAGCTATTGTTTATCTTTCTTTGTTCGCCATGAGATCCTTAAAAACTTTATTGGACACAAAAAGAATTGCATTCTACTAAAGATCTTGTCTAGAAAGCTAAGTTTTGTTAAAAAGTCTGACCGATTGACATAATGAGTCTTTGGTGTCGTCCACAACAAATCGTTCTCGTTTGAAGTTGTTATTATAGTAATTGGCGATGTTTCTCTTGCTTTATTCGCCTTGAGATCCTTTTAAAATATTTTTTTTTCGGAAATAAAAAGAATTGCTCTTTACCAAAGATCTTGTCTAGAAAGCCACGTTTTCAGAGAAAAAAAAATCTGACCGATTAACACGATGAGTGTTTACGGTGTTGTTGTCACACATAACTCGTTCTTGTCTGAAGCTGGTACAGTAATTGGCGATGTTTACCATGCTTTGTTCGCGTTGAGATCCTTATAAACTTTGTTGGAAGAAAAAGAATCTTTTTTTTTTTCACTAAAGATCGTTTACATTTCTACATGTATAACTTCTAGTTGTACTGGATTGTGGAACAACTCGCCGACGTCTCTACTCAATTTGATAAGTCGGCTAGTTGGCGTTGGCGAGTCGAACCGTCGGCGACTTGACCGTAATTCTGAACCCCATACTGTTCCAGAACCGAGCTGTAGACTCAAAGGTATTTTATCTTAGCAGTGTACAACTATTGAGGTATGGGATTACAGCTTCATGATTTCGTTAGACTTTGTTTTTCTGCGAAGATTTTCATGTATGCTGGAAGCGAGTCATTTGCAAGTTAAATCGGTGCAGATAAAGCTACTGTTTTCAAGTAATACACTATTTGCACATTTAAGTTTCTTTGAGCAATCTTTCATGCACAACATGACTTGTCTTTATATGCAACTTCTGACAGAAATGCGGCTGAAGAAAGAGGGTTATACCTCAATTTTAGACGAGATAAGGAGAGTTGTGGCTCCAACAAGCTGTAGTTCATCCCGCTTTACTGTGTTCCTCTCAAGGAAATGATCAAGAAGTTTCACACCCAGATATAGAGTCTCATGATAAAGTTCAAAACATTCTTGAACCTCAACCAACCAGTCAACCAATATGGCTCTCATCTGTGCAGTTATGTCTTGCTGTTTTTCCAGGTAATTTGTCAGTGGAAAACGTTCCTAAAAGCAGCAAGATATAGTATGATTAAGAAATTTCTCTTGATGTTCCTGTCCAGTTTTTGGCCATCCAAGTTACCTTTAAAAAAATTAATTTTCTCTGACTCCAGTACGGATTTTAAGAAAAATTATGAGCATTCCAAGTTTTATTACCTCCCTTGTCTTCATATTTGCAAAGATCTCATTTGCATAATCCGACACAGTAACAGGATCTGATGCGTCTGCATCAATGTCAATCACTGCGTCAACAGCTGATTTTCCATCCTACAAAATAATGATAAATGTATTAAAGGGAAATTGTCAAGTCTAATCTAACTAGTATATAGATATTTTTATGAACATAAGCATAAATTTCCACTTGATTAATTTACATTTTAAGAAAATTGGTTGAAAGCTGACAGGCTATACATGACAATGAAAGACAGTTTTCTAACTAGGGAAAGTGTTCCAAGTTGAAGGTTTATCTGTTCACAAGGTAGACATGCAACTGCTTAAAAACCATTTAGAACTATGCTTAAGGAAGCAAGTCAGGGCAAAAAAAAAATAAGGTGCTCTAACTAGTCCCTGCACTTTCTTTTCCTCAGGAGAATGGGAAAATATGGTCTGATGAGAGTTATTTCACACTAGAATCATACATCTGATCCAAGACAAAACATAAGATTTAACTATTTAAAGGGGTACTGGGTTGGGGACTGTGGATACTAAAACTCACATCATTGTTGAAGTGTTGCTCCACCTCTGACCTGTCATTCTTGCAACTAAAAAAGAAGTGGATTGTTTGTTAGTAATTATTATTGTATCACACCACAAAACAGTTCATCAATAACAAATGTGAGCACAGACCACTGTTAGTGGTAATTTCAGTAAAAAAAAGCAATATATTTAATCCAGTATTTATAACATTTAATATGTTTTTAATATTTATATACAATATTTATAACATATTTTATATATTTAATCCAGTATTTAAAATAAAGTGAGATTGCTTTGGGTTTCTGTGACTAAACTGTGTGATTTTTCTTGACCACTCAGTTTTCAACCCAAAATTGTCATTTGGTAACTCTTGTTTTCCCACACTTCTGGTAGGTAGTTTGTTTTTATTTTGAGTTCTCCCTGACTTCTTCTAATGTTGTTTTTCAACTGCTTGGCTGTTGTCAGTACACTGGTATTGGTTTTACAACACTCCATCAGAATGCTCCTCAAAATATACTTACAACACAAGTGACTGCAATGAAAACCAAGCAAAGAATACCTTGGGGGCTCTTTCAAGCTTGTTGAAGCAGAATCACAGGCACTTTGAGTTCTTGTTGAATCAAGACCATCACATGTGGTGCTAAAATATAGAGATTACTTTAGCTTCAAGAAAGATATGATGACCTATTTTTTGGGAAAGCTTCTAAACTCTATATCTCATGTACTTCATTTTACATTTTTTAGTCCATAGTCAATTTTTATATTTTAATTTTTTTGCTACAAATTGTAGATGCTGTTCTAACATCTTTGTACTGGGCAACTAACAAATTTAAATTGCTAATTGTGCAAGGTGAGGTAATAAATTATTGATTGAGGGGGGATTGTTACTACCGTTGTAGAGAAATCAGTACGTGCGCCTGAATACCAGTTATCAATGGCTTTGGATTCAAATCAGTATTTTACATATTGAGTAATCACTGTCAGAAACCGTAAATGTAGAGATAATATGAAGGCTAGCTTCAGATCTGACGAAATACAATTTATTTACCTTGCAGAAATTTGCAAAATGTCTTGGGAAAGTGAAGATTCTTCGCTCCAGTATGCGCAGCCTAAAATGTCACCCGATGGCGACGAAGGCTGAGATTTCACTTCGGATACTAACGGTTTTCGATCTTTGATAGTTGAATCTTTCTCTTTGCTCCTTCGGTATTGTTTTGCTTTTGTCTTGGTCTTCATTCTACCTTGTCTCGTTTCCGTGTCTTTTAACACGAAGCTGTTCTTTGTCTGCTTATCTTTACCCCCTTCATCAGGCTGGTTGAAAGTTGCCTAAGAACCAAAAGTAAAACGTTTGAATGTGGTTCCAAGGTAATTAAATAAAAATATATACTATGGCGTACGTTGAAGAACTTGGAAATATGTTCTAACATTTGTGATATCACCAAAAGCTGCTCTTTTTCGTGAAGGAACATTCTCCGTGGAACCATCCGCTGGTCGCTTCGTCTTCTCAGAGGCTTTCACGTTCAGCTGAGTGGGAAGTTTATTTTCATCTAAAGAATAATCCTGCTGGAAAGAAATCACATAAAGTAAAACACGAGACCTGATTTAACAGGGAGATAAAAAATTTCAGGCCTTCCTCGAGCTGGGAGGAAAACGTGTTCGAGTGCCTTTTGTCACTGACCTTGTGTTTGTTGTGAAACACCGAAATTGAAGGTTTTGACCGCGTTTTTACCATCTTCGCTGAAAGGTTTGTAAGATTTCTTTTAAAATAAAACCCTGGCAAGTGTTGACCAAAATGCAATAAATAACTTAAACACGTCTCGTTAGATCGTATGAACTCCTTTGAGTAGAAACGATTTGGATTCTGCGGGTTTAAACCACGCGATATTTGATTGGCCAAGGAACTATATATCAACCAATCAGAATGATGTTCATGATACGTTTCTATGAAAACGAATGCCTCGTTTCCAAGTGGTGGGACCGCTGATCAAGATACGAGACGACGATCTCCGCAAACTGCTGGAAATCTTGAGAAGACTGATGCTGACTTGCATTGACACGTTTCAAGTTCTCCTGCGTCGAAAAATTTAAGTTTTCATGGATTATAGACCATTTATCTATGGAGGGTTGGCCTCCATGACTGCTGAATTTGGTGAGTAAACATTGATGTTGTGAGCAATTTATTTGTGCTAAATGAGTTTCACTGATCGAAGGTCGAAGACTCCCATGAAAGATTATGGAGAGGACGAGGTGACTCAAATTGGAGTGCTGAGTTCCGAGCACATCCCTATTATTATCTTATGCACTCAGGCATTAAGCCTCTCCCGATCACTTCACCTTTACGATGACCCTTCCCCAAGGAGTGCGATGGAGAAGTGGGAAGGGGACGCATACATGCCAACTCTCCCAGAATATCCGGGAGTCTCCCGGATGCAGAGCCAATCTACCCCTCACCCGTACGGGTGACCAAAACTCCCGGATAAAAGGAAGTTTGGATCAGTTACCCACAAAAATCTTAATATTAGCTCCATATGTTCCAAAATTCTAAATCATCTGGCTTCTCATGCTTGTCTAACGGTTTCTGGCTTCATTATCTTGCGCGATACACGTTCGTTGCAAACAAAGAGGAGTGAGTCTCATCTCTGTTATCCACCTATATAAGCGAGAGTCTGATTGGATGAGTATTCAACCAATTGAAGTCCCTCACAGACAGATCTACGTTTTTCCTGCGAAATTGCTTAGCGCGCTCACTGATACTGGAATTTCCACATAATGGCTTATCTACAATGTGCCTATTTTAAGGCGATAGGGAGGAGGGATAGGAAGTCCAAATTAAGAGAGAAACTTTCGGGGGGTGTCATTGGCAACTCAGTGGGGGGTGCTGGTCTGAAAAAAAATCTCAGAAAGAGTACCATATAACCCCATACATTAATTATGCATTGTACTTCTTTGTCTTTTACGACAAAACTTTAAAAAGAAAGTCTACCAGTCTGAATGCATAATTAATGTTTGGGGTTATATGGTACTCTTGCCAAAATCTCCAGATTTGAGATCTCCAGAGGTTGGCATCTCTGGGGACGGGTAGTGGGGGACAGGGCGGGGGAGCTAAGAGAGGGTGCTTAAGTGTTTAAGATTACTTATGTGAAAATTAGAATTAACTATTGCCATGTCATGCTACAGGAGCCAAAGTAAGGTTGGATTGGATAGTCTTGTTTGTAGATAGAGTAGGAGACAGCTTGAAAAAAGTGTTGCCGCTTAACGGCTCCATAAATTTCCACTGCTGTTCAGCTCCATCTAAGTAAATGACTTTTGAATGTCAAACTGGAGAGAAATCTGGAGCTAAGGCATGGTAACATGGAGAACTACCTTAGAGGGCCATTGAGAAACACTATAAAGGAGCTTATAATAAAAGAGAAGCAAATACAGACAAAACTACTGGAGGAGAAATTCACTTTTATCAATAGCAGGATTTTCACTAAGTTTTGAAGTAGAAGGGTGCTGTCTTGGGAGTAGGCAGGTACCCTAATAAAATTGAGGGCCAAAAGCCCGAAACTCAAGGGGGGTCTGGGGGCATGCTCCCCTGGGAAATTTTTAAAACTTAAGTCTCTCAGTAGCACATTTTCCTGCAATCTGGAAAAGACATTTTCTTGCAATGATGCTTACTTCATCTAGTTTTTGTAAAAAAGAATGGTACTCTGGGAGAATTTGATTACCTTTATTTATAGTACACAGCTATGGCTACATCAAAACAACTGTTAAGTAGACGGGTGCAGGCACCCGGGGTCCAACTTCTAATAAAATCCCTTCAAAGCATAGCTAAGACATGGCAAGCCATTTTTCAATGTTGCAATTTGTGAGTATCAACATTCAAACATCTTATGGGCTGTGAGTGTCATTCAGAAATGCTAGTTAGGGTGAGGTTACCGCAACGCTTAAAACTCTCATCAGTGAGCAAGACGGCAGCTAGCAGACAAGTGATTAAAAAAGAGGAAAACATCAATCAGGGGATTTTTTAGTTGATCTTATTCTAAATTCTTCAAACTAACATTGTAAGAATTGAAAAGCAACAGTAAGAAGAAGTAGTGGTGGGATATTGGGAGCAAAAGGGTCAAAGCCTGTGGATTTAAAGGTGATATTCCCTAAATAAACATACTTGCTTTCTTGCTCATGTCCACAAAAGGAGCAGTATTGGTTGTTTAAGATAGGTGTTAAAACACACAAAGCAATGTTAGACAAAATCAAATACTTCTGTTTTTCATTTGAATTTACCTTTGTTGCACTAGACATAAAGCCCAGCAATATGACAAGTAGTATTTATGTTAAGAATTTTGCTCTGATGTTTCACTACAGGAACATTTCCTATTGACACAACAAAAACACGGCTACAGCTTCAGGGTCAAGTGATAGATGCTAAACAGAAAGAGATTAGATATAGAGGAATGCTCCATGCTTTTGTTAGAATTTCCAGAGAAGATGGGGTCAAGGCATTGTATAATGGGTAAGTTCAGACCTGAAAATGGTGGAGAATTGTCAAGTTCTGTCATAGCATTTTATAAAGTCTACTCTAGATCTCCTAGATGTGGAGCAAATTACCACAATTTTGTGGCAATGCCTACATCTGGCATTTTGGAAGAAACCAAAATACCATGATCACTTTGTTTGCCATTTTGTTGATTTATTATTTGGTGTATTTATAAATTTTATTAATAGGGTATTAATCATGCTTCATCAAGATGTTCTGTTGTTTCCCTTCTACCTTGACCTCACCAGTGCATAGTTTTGTTGCAGGTCAAATACTTTTTGTGTTGGTTCTGCCATAGATACTTTGACTTTTCCAGAAACACTCAACAATGAATTACTGATGTGAAGTTTTGATAAAAAAAATTGGTGTGATTATAAAGTTGTCTTAGGGGTTTGAAAGAGTAGTTTTCTAAATTTTCTTTTATAGAAACCTCATTTTAAAATTTGAAATTATCTCTTCCTATAAATACTGTACAATAATTATTTATTTTTTTAAAAATGTACATTTAGGTAACTAGCTTCAAATTAGCTGACTGTTATGTCACATTTTCTTCACTTTTGCTAGGGTAGCACCAGCACTTTTGCGTCAAGCAACCTATGGATCTCTAAAATTAGGCTTTTACCATGCTCTGAAGAGGAGGCTGGTAAAAAACCCAAAAGGTAACAACAAATAGGGCAGAAGCAATATTAATATCAGTCTTGGATGTTTTTTTTTTGTTTTAATTCTTTATTTTCTTTCTTTTCCTCTTGCAGACGAAACTTTATTTTACAATGTAATGGCAGGGGTTGTTGCTGGAGCATTCTCATCAGCTATTTGTAATCCTACTGATCTTTTAAAGGTAAATGATTTAACCCTTTAACTGCCAGAAGTGATTAACATGTAGCTTCTCCCTATGATATCCATGTATTATCCAGCAAACAGGTAATGAGAATACTAACAATTATCAGGTAGATGTTGTTATCTTGATCTTAAACCAATTTCTTATTACTAATCTTCAAGGAAATTTGTAGCAGTGAGAGGGGAGAATAAACAATCATCTTAGAGGATTAATTATAGATATTTGTTACTTGTGTTTTCTTATATCTGTGAGGTTATCAAGAAAAATGTCCAAATGCTTAAAAGAATTTGTTTAATACAAATTTTGACAGTCCATATAATATGAAGGTGATTCTGTAGATCCAAACATTTTGCTGATGTGTCACCAAACAAAAAGCTTAATCAAGCTGTGTTGTGACAAGGTTATGAGCCTTCTATTGAAAGCAACACATTTGTGGTGAAATCATTGTGATCTATTTTATTTTCATCGTCTATCTCTTTTCTTTCTCTGTTGCAGATTCGTATGCAGGCAGAGTATCAATCAGGGGTTAATGTCAGAAGAAAAGGAATGCTTCGATCTTTTGCTTCAATATTTAAAGAAGAGGGAATCAGGGGACTCTATCGGGTAACTTGAAACCTCTTATTCATCATTTGCTTGGTAAATTAAATGCACGGTGATAAAAACCATCATTAGTACTATGTCACAATTGTTATTAATATTAACTTATTGTGATTTATCATTTGCTACTCCACTATTCTTATTACTTGAATTGAATTGATTCCTTTTATTCATCCATGTTATTTTGGGAATTCAATTTTTAATCCATGAGCAACAATGAAGAATGTGAAAAAATGCTTTTGATTGTGGATGGTTAAAATTCTTTTCTTATCTCAATTCAAGCATAGTTTTCAGGGAATTCATTAGAAGCCAGCAACCAGCAAATTTCAGCAGCTACTACACAATGGAGCTGGCTACTTTTGCCACTCCACCTCCCAGTTTTTGCGTGTTTTTCAGAAAACACTTGATACATTCTAGAGGCAGTCACCAATAAAGGTGTTTTTTGTTGATATATTTTGTCTACTTTTGGTTGTTAGGGGATTTTTGCAAGGAGTTCCTATAATTCAGTCAACAGCATGATCAGTTCGTTAAGTGCCTTGTTAAATGGACTGAAGAGAAAGACTGGTGACAAATCTGCCTCGCTTACTGCTGAACTGTCCTCTGCTATCATGTGTCCTAATATACACTTACTTCCGAAATTAATGAAATCCTTGGGTTTTGTCACAAATGTTATTAAATAAATATGTATTGCTGTGATTATTATTATTTACTATTGTTATTAATATATATTATTATTATAATACCAAAGGTTATATTTCTAGTAGGAACTACTTTTTTCCCATATTGTCTAGGGAGTTGGTCCCACAGCTCAAAGAGCAGCAGTTATTTCAGGAGTTGAACTTCCAGTCTATGATTGGTGTAAAAAGAAAATTTTGGATCTTAAGATTATGGGTGACAACCCTTACACTCATTTTTGGTAAGTGTAAAATCAGTATTGTGTCATGATCTGTTCTATAAACACTCAGCACCTATAATGTCAAGAAATAATAAAAAGAGAGAATGTTGTGACTTTAGTTCACTCAAATTATGTGCCTTGAAATTTGTTCTTAGGCTGCTAATTAGTGAATCGATACAAATTTGATTGTTTTTTTTTTCCTTTTTTATTATCAAACAAGTCAGATGCATGTCATATTTCTTGCAAAGTCAAGTTTGCCTCTATGTTGAGTTATTTTAAATCCTGTAACAACCTTTTTTTTAATTAGTAGTTTAATGTTTATGGCATAATTTCATGATAAATGAGAGGGTAAATGAATGTTCTTTTAATTCTTTTCTTTTTTCAGTGCAAGTGGAGTTGCTGGACTAGCAGGTGCTTTAGCCTCAAATCCAATAGATGTTGTTAGGGTCAGTTGACTGGAGTACAGAGAACTCTTTGCTCTGATCTCTTATATGGATATTTTTAAGGAATTTGTCATGAATTTTATGAGTACATAATATTGTTTTACTGATTTGTCTAGACGAGAATGATGAATCAAAGGAATCTGAAGGTAAACACTGGAAGTGTAACTGTCATTTACACAAGTGCTGCCCACTGTTTGCTCACTGTAAGTAACTTTTATGCCATATCATGTGATTTTATTTTATCTAATTGTTTATTATCCTTGTACTTATGGTAAGTTCTACTATAACTGTTGATAATTTTCTGCTATTGAATAAGTTTAGAAAACTTCAATGTTGAATTCCAAAGGTTCCAGTCATTATGATTCAGGGGCAGATCCAGGAATTTTTGATGGGGGGTGTCCAAACTTTGGTTCAGGAAGGGCTGTTGGACTCTTGAGGCAAATTACTTCTCCCACGCAACCCCTCCCACAAGTCGCGGTTGCATGTTAAAATTCCTTGGCTGCTTACCGTTTGCTTGGATTCATTAAAAAAGTCAGCCAGTTAAAAAGTAATATACGATCCTGTCGATGCAAGAATTTCAGTCTCAAAGTTGTAAGCATCAGGTCTGATAGGGGGGGTCCAGACTCCCTGGACCCTCCCCCTGGATCTGCCACTGTGTACAATCCTTGTGTACAATATTTGCCTCATTAGCATAAGCAATTCAGTTTCTGATGGAGCTAAAAATAAATCAGTTCTGAATATCGAAAGGTCAAAGTATGATTAACTTGGCTAATGAATACAAGCCTGATGCATTGAATACTTTTTGTGCAACATGGGTTTAAAAACTCAAAATTTTGCATAGAATGTATGAGCTCATTAGCACTTTTGCCACCCAGAAATTTTGCAGTTTTTGATGGACTATTTCTCCTTGAATATTACTCCCAAAGAGCTAAAAATGTAACCATTTACTGAGGTTTACTAGCTCTTTAGCTGCCTGAAGTCAATTTGTATCTAACATGCTTCCTTCTTTACGCAAAGCTGTATGCAAATGAGCAAAAATGTAAACAATGACGTCAGCATGAATCCGCCTATAGGCAAGTCATCCAGAGAACCTTGCTGAAAAAGAACAAATACAAAATTAATGACAATTTTTTTCCAAACTGTACCCCAAAAGCATTAAAATTGACCTAGATTGTTTAAAAATTATTTCCCCACAGAGTATTTCCAAAAAAGAAAAAGGATTCGTATACTAAAAGCAAAAGTAAATGTAATGTTAGACCATTTCAAGACCTCATGCTCCATATATTTTAATATTGCAAGAACATTTACTGATTACTTACCTTGATTCTTCGCTGAGATTTCCAGTTCTCTTCAATTGTCGAAAATAATCTCTAAAGCCTCAGCTATGCAGTATCTCCGACGCTTAGCATTGGACTGTACTTAAACTACAGATTGAAATCATAGGAAATTGATTCTCCAGAAGGGGCTTGGCAGGTCACATTTGAGAGTTCAAAACTGAAACTCACTATGTGATTGGCTTAGAATGTCTACATGCTACAGTCTGAATTTAAGAGTGACCAGGCAATTTTGTCATACGGGCACCAAGGTTGTTGGAAATGGGAAGTTCATGAAAAGTATTTTGACCAAAATAGGCCATTTTACAGTTGCGTATTTAGTTGCCGAGGTATTGATCACATTGAAGGTGACCTTAACTTGTTGTGATAGAGACCAGTGTCTAGTTAGCATGATAACAATTGAAAGTAATTTACATTTGAAAAGCAGCAACGTCTGTATCATAAGGTCACCCTCAGCCTCACTCCTGTTCAAAGGCTTGGCAACCAAGCACATAACTGTGAAATTGATTATTATGATTTTACACTCATACACTCTCTGAACTAACTGATGTTTAGTTTGCAACCAATTTCTGATGTGTAGTTTCTAAACAGAACTAAATGCAGGTTTTTAAGGCCTCTACTTGTACATTCAAACTTCCCTGTCATCAGATTTTAGCCATCTCAGAATGTGAATGATATTTGCTCTCTGTCAATGGATTTTATTCCATTTGTTGTCTTATATATTTTTTTTGTCTTTTCATTGATAGACTTTGAAGTCTGAAGGTTTTTTTGCCCTCTATCGTGGGTTTGTACCTCAGTTTCTGAGACTATTTCCATGGAATGTTATTGTATCCTTTCTTGAGCTTATGGTCCTTGATGTTTTCATAGTGGTTTATTTCATGTTTGAACACCCAAATCATTTTTTACTTATAATAATATTGTTGTCTTCACATTTTATTTTGGGTAATGTAGTATCAAAAGTGACTTTCTTTCCATTTAATTCTTTTTCCATTTTTCGGTTAAAGGTTTAAATTGATACTCATAATCTCTTGGGTAGAAAATATTGAAATACACCAGGATTTGGCCAATATTATACTTTTCAAAACACACTGTGGAGCATGATTTGCTGTCACAGAACAAGAATTTGTTGGAATTTGACACTGAATCACACTGATGTTTCTTTAACTCCTGTTCAGTTCTTTATGTCGTATGAGCAGTACAAGAAGTATGGAGATGAAGTATTATCATAATAGCAAGTTAATGGTTTGCTCTAGTTTTACATAAATGCTGACATCTAGTGAGGTCGTGTGGAGCATTTCTACAACTTAAAAAGCAACCTAAATTTCATGCTGTTGTTTATCATCATCAGATAGTAGTGGAGATGCAATAGCAAACAAAGAAAAAAGCCAAAGAGAATAAATAAATGAAAAAAAAAATTAATAATTGTGCAAATCCACATATTATGACATTAGATCAGTTGTGACCTATGACCAGTATTGGACTAGTTTCATGAGTGATTCATGACATGATTGATAAGAGCCTTATGAGAAGAATCCACACATAACAGCAATTGAGAATAGTATTATTTATTTTTATTTCCATGAAAATAATCAAATTATTTCATTCAATTCAAAAATTGTTCTCATTCAATTATGCCTGGTGATTTATGCCAGAAAGCTTTAGTTCAGATTGCACTGCACTTCATAGTGGGATGTGTTTGGTATATGTTGCAACTCCCCTTTCGTTCTAAGCTTAATAATATACATGAAAAAATTTCTCAATTCTGATTGGTTAAGATGAATGCAGTTTTCATTTAATTCAGTGCAGGAGAGTTAATTCAGTGCAAAGAAAAAAACAAACCAGACATTCAGATTGGTCAATGTCACTTGCAGGGTTTGAATAAATTATTTTTGCATGTGGTGTGCATGCTTTTCTTCTACATAGTTATTAGAAGCTACCTCGTATTTTTTCATGTATATTATTAATGGATAATCACATGATTTTCTCGTGCAATTTGGAATAAATAAGCACTTGTAAATTTTTTCAAAGACCACAAATTGGACTCGCCCAACGGGCTCATGCAATTTTGTTAGTCTTTGAAAAAATTTACTCGTGCTTATTTATTCCAAATTGCACTCGAAATCATGTGATTACCTATACGAACAGATCATTTTTTTTAAAGGAATAATGTCCTTCAAATGAAGTCACAATGTAGTAATCTACAAACTTTGTTCCTGTGTGAATTCACACATACAGACATAGTAAAAGTTCCAGTAGATTCCTTTATTTCATAAAGGAAATAGTGTAGGTGCCATGTTAATATTATCAGTATTGTTAACAGGACAACTCTTTTATCATTAGGTTTCAAGCCATTTACTGCATTATACTTTCTACTGGATCAGAGTCTGATCAAATTAAACCTTATTTTCTTAACTGCTACTATACAACCCTATACCGATAAATTTTAAAATCATTAAATTTTCTTTGATGGGGACTTAGCTAGTTTTGTTTTCACAAATAGTATCCATGCAATATAATTAACCCACTCTTTAAATTTATGTCGACCCTTTTTTGTCATGTTTTTCAAGTCAAGTTTAAAGCTAATCAGCTTTCAATTAAACTCCTCGAGCTTCACTCAGAACTGAGCTTAACTCTAATGATACTAATATTGTAATTCAAGCCATTTCACTTGATTTCAATTTGTCTTTTCTGTCAAATAAACACTGAATAGTTGAATTAACCCTCGGTTGTGTTATTTTTGATCTTCGTCATTAACTATGGTTCGTTGTTGTCATTTATATTTAACTCATTCACTAATTTACAAAAATTTTTCTCAAATCCCTGTACTACTTCTCTGGGATCTGAAATGACACATTCATCTGCATAAACCCCGACACGAATTCCGCCGTTGTAGCTAAATATTGACAACCCCACGCCAATATTTGCTCTCATGGGGACCCAGAAAATTCCCTGAGTAATTTTCTGACCTCCCAGGTGTAAAGTGTGCTGAGGTCCGGGTACATTGCTTAGGACACACGACATCTTCCTGGAAAAGAAATCTATGAGAGGCTTGGAGACACATTCAGGCAACATCATTAACATCTGTACTGTTGTCGCTGTCACCAGAGGTTCGGCAGATGCCTTGATAATATCCATGCGTTGTTTGGTCGCAAGGAGTCTGTCCAATGCGTTTTTGGCCACGATCGGGAGCCGTAGAAACACCAGTGCAAATTTATTCTTGAGCTTGACTGATTGTGATGATGCCCGAATGTCTACCGGCACTGAAGCCCACATATCGTCAAGTTTTACCGAATCACTCTTAGGTTGACTGTGAAGGTAATCATTCAAAGCCCCTGCCAAACAAGATACCATGACGTCATTTACGGTAGTACCAGCCACAGTTTTGACTCGTTTGACCAGCGACAAGTCCATGTTCTTGGACCAAGCAACAAATTTCTTACCGGAAAGGTCCTGGCCGTGAATACAAGAGTGATCTGCTCTGGAAAAAAACTTCATGAGTACCGTCAGTGGACCAACCAGGATAGCTTTACACCACATGTAAAATCTTTGTTTCGTGGAGAACTTCTTTGGTTCAGTTTCTTGTGGTGGTACATCGTAAAGATTTTTCACAAACACTCTCGTCAAAGCAACTCCATCAGCAACACTGTGATGAACACGAAGTAACAGGCCAAAGCTATCTTCCTCTTCTATCGGCACTACAATAAATTGCCAGGGAGACAGGTTTTGAGGTAAAGAACTCGAACAGAGTTCAGATACAACTTCTTCCAGATCTTGCGTAGACTTTGGATTATCTCCTTTCCAATTCAAAACCTGATTTTCCATTTTGAAATTCTCATCTTCCTTCCAAACGAAATATCCGAAATGTTTTTGTATAACTTGCGTTAGCCGTGGGCAAATTCGTTCACCCTTTTCATCTTTTCCGTAAACGAGCCGTTCGTAAATAATTCGGCGGAGTTTCTCGATGTCCGGCAAACCTTCAACGATCATGAGTGCGTTGATGATATGACGGTTTGTCTCGCGGTCTTGCTGCCAAACGGCGTCATCTTCGCGAAAAGGGATGCAATTCCATTTGAAAGCGATGTAACCTTCCACGATGTATTTTGCTAATTTTAAAATCGCTAATCCGACCAGCAAAAATGGAATTACGAGACAGAACAGAAGGCATGTTACTGTACACTCCAGCTGGTAAATTACAGTAGCAACTGCAATGGCCATTACCAGATTTAAACCTCTGAAGCGCTTGTGAAGTGGTAAAACAAAGGCTTTGAATTTTTCTTCATTTCCTCCCCGCTTCTCTTCAGGGACTTGAACTGGCTTACATGAGATCGACGGAAAATGTTCGCAGACGAAAGCTGCTTGTGAAGTGGGCGAAGTATTTATGCAATCTACCCTCATTTTGCATGCAGTTTACCTCACTGATGAGATAAAAAGCCTTGAGGTTTCTTATCACTTTCTGCTTAGCCGCAGAATTTGTCCAAAGTTATGAAGTTTTGTGAGCGATGCAAAACGAACATCAGGTATTGCCACCAGTTGTTACTCTTACGTGATTGGTTGTGGAATGTGGTGCGAGTGACATGTCTATTTCTCTATTTTACTATTCTAACCAGCAGGCTATCAAGACACCTGAACAGAATGGTTTTGTGAAAATCACGCTGGTTCAAGTTGATGACAATTTTCAAGATTTCAAGGTTATCACATGCAACATTTCTTTTTTTCCCGTTTGCTTTACAGGTTTCTATTTGTGTATTTTTTTTTTTTATTTCTTGACTTGATTTCTCCATGAATGTTTGGCTTGGATCAATTTTTCATGGAAATGAACAACTGTGGATTTCATCATGATCTGGTTTCATTTTGAGAAATGTATTTGTCAAAACTCCTTTTTTTTTTCTAAATGGTTATTAATTTATAAATCCTACTTTAAAGAATGAAGACAAGACATGTTCATGAATTTTAAAAACAGTGTTGCTTTTACTTACTTATTTATTAGTCCAGGCTCAGCCGTTAGATTCGTGAAGATCGCTCGAGTCTCATGACGCCTCAGGCGATCTTCACGTATCAGACTTGTCAAAATTTTTTGTTCTTTGTACAATTTTTTTGTCTTTGTTATTAAAGTGAATAAAATTATTGCGACTTTTTTTTTTTTTTTTAACTGTCTGAAACAAAATTCTCATCAGAATGAAAAATCTCCGAACCACAGCAGCTGTGCTGTCATGGATATGTGTGGTCCTTGTTTATCTACTCAACTGCGTAACTTGTAGTTTTTTTTTTTCTCCCATGCTATTTAGGAGTGCTTCTTTTAAGGTCTCCCAACATATTATATATTCTTTCATCATTTACCTTATCCGGTGTGGCGGATTCTCTATTTGGAAGCAAGAGCGATCCACCATACGTTTTTAATTGAAACATAATTTTGCCCCATACTACCCTAGCAAAGTTACTTTTCATCACCCCCCCTCCCCTCATCCCATAACTAGAACCAGTTGTCAAAGCAACCGCGCCATTTCAAAACATGTACCTCAATGAATTTCCTCAATGGCGCTCTTTGATGTAGCTCCAGTGTTGGAAGGTGTAGCAAGTCTTCAAGAAAAAGTAGAAGATGCCATTACAAAATCCAAACTTCTTCTTGAAGCTGTTGAAGGTTCTCAATCAAAGTACACTGAGTTGAGTGACGAGTATCCTGTGCTTCGAAGTTTGAAGGGTAGACTAGCCGCGTCACAGGGGCCAAACGAAGCTTTATCTACAGAACTCGTCAAATTCAAATTAGAGCTTGAATCTTTTGTGGAAGAAGTATTTAACGCTCACGATCAAGTAAGGAAGGATTTAAAACTTTGGGCTAATGAGCTGGACAGAGATAATACAAAGTTACGCCGCGAAAGAGAGGAATTGGCGAACGAACGAAGAAAGCTTGAAGTTGATCGCAGAGACTTTGATGCTCAGTGCCTGGCAGCAGCAAGCAAAGAACAACAAATCACTGAAGCACGAACGGTTACCAGTACCGACGACACAGACCAGACGTTAAGTATTGTTATGAATAACTACACAGATCATTGCGAGGAAGATAAAAAAACTAAATCTGCCCCATCTCATGGTAAGTTACACTATCGATACCAACGTATCACTATGACAATTATTAAGTCTCCCTCTTTTTGATTGATTATTTGATCAGCTGTTGTCCGCGGCTGTTATTTTGCAAAAAACCTTATCGCAAAATTTTTCATTTCTTACGACTTTTTTAATGAAGTATTTTGTTTGAAACTTTTCGTTTTGTTTCACCAAAATTCTAAAAATCATATGGAATCATGTAACCAACGAAATTTTGTATTTGTTGATGAACTTGGATCTTAAGCATTTAACTCACTATTTCCTATAACGCCCATACCTAACCCAGCAAACAGGTAATGATAATACTCTCAAACTTATTCGAGCGAAGTGTTTGTCATAATCAAACACCAGATTCTCAGAACTTAAATAAAAAGAAATGTATGGCAGCTAGAGGGGAGAATTTAGTGAAAGTACTTGGTTTAAGTCTTATGATGTGGTCGTTTCTTTAATGCAAGAAGGACTCTATTCCTCCTTACAACCAAGGAGGAAGAAATTGAAAGCATCTTGAATCCAACTTAGTTCATTTATTGGATTGCAGTGTAAATCTATTATGATCTTTGTTGTTATCTTATTTCTTTTTAGTAACACGTGATGTTGAATGCCAGACAGAAGCTAAGGTTAATTTAGCAGAGGAGACTGGTGAAGAAGATATCCAAACTGCAGAGGTAAGAATATGAAGCTGTTGGTTAAAACTGTTATAGATATGGGCTAAATTTTGTTAAAATGAATTCATCTGTGATTGTTGCCAGTAATGTGCAGCGGGGGTTAAACAATAAATGTTTTTCCTCATTTTCGTGTTTTTTTTTTTTTCTAAAAGTAACAATTTTGTCTAGTAATGGAATTAATTTGATGATGGACTAAAATTTTTGCTTTTCTGCAGTCCATCCAAGTGAAAGATGAAGAAGATAGACTGGAAATGGAAAATTATGCGTCATTGCGCTGTAGGTCTCAATTACAGACAGCAACCATCGGTAGGAATCAGCGCATTCTTACTGCTCCAGTGTCCAGGGCAAAAGCTTTGCTTTTTAAAAAACAGGATCATGCACTAAGGATACACCAGGTAAAATGAAGTTTTTAATTTCACTAAGTGCTAGGTTGGTTTTCTTTTCGCACATTTCTCAGACTGATCTTCATCCATTTCCATCATCTCTTATCAGTTCTTGGCTGAGCTCTCAGCTTTCAGGTTTGCCAACATTACTTTTCATCAATTGGTCTAACAGGGTCAGTTTAAGAAGTTTAAGAATGTTTAAAGGAAGTTCAACTGGACTGATAATTGATTGATGTTTGAAATTATCATATGACCCCTCCAGCCCTGCGTGCACAATCCAATAGAAAACCACAGCAAAAGCTGATGCAAGTAAGGCCAAATGGTTGATGCAAGTAAGGCCAAATGGTTGATGAAAGCCAGTCCAGAAAAAACTGCACAGCCCTGGTGCACTTGTACAGCAACATCACAGTTCACAATTGTTACAAAAACAAGGGAAAGCAGTGAACAAAACAAAAAGAAATAAGTCACATTTTTTGATGAATTGTGGGTTTCCTGTTCTGACTTAAAAAAAATGAAGGAAAAGTTTTCAACGTAGAAACCTTTTTTTTGGTTTTCCCAGTGTGCATTAGTCTATTGTGTGCTATTTGAGTTGAAAAAAAAAATCATAAAATGTTTATTTACTGAGTTAAGTCAGGCTGGACTGGGAAATATTTAACTCTTGTTCATGATGCACATGACCTCAAGCCAAATATTTTCCCGTTTGGCCCTCCCACTCACTCAGTAAGTACAAATTATGACCCTGACAAGCTCATTATTTTGGCGATATGTTTACTGTTAGCATGACTGGGAGGAGGACAAAAAAAGCAGGATATCCATAAGATAATCATACCATAACAAGCAACCTGATTGTTTCAGATGCTACTTGATGATATCACTAAGGTGAAAGAAGAGAAACAACTTCTCAAGACTGAAAACTCTTTACTGTCAAAGAGAGCAAATGAAGCCACCGCTGACTTATTTCACTTGAAGGTGAGAATTTTATTTACCTCTTGCAGGTGTTACAAGTTTGCCATAACCTATAATTGTCGATTTGATTTACTGAGCTTGGAGTATTATCCAGCTGTGGCTATTAGTAGTTAACCTGCACAAGCACTTATGTCAATTCAGCAATGTAACAACATCCACCTGTCACCCAGATGAGCAATAATTGTTCATTTTTTATATTAACAATTGCTACAAATATCTTCCTTCTTTTGATGAAAAATGTTCTTGAAACCTGTTGGAAAAGAAACCCAGTGTAGAAGCAAATGAGTGAAGGGACATGAACCTTACCTCCGTGGTAGCACCAACAACAGAATTTTTTATGGACAGAAAGAGGCAAAGGAGAGGAGCTAAGAGTTGTCACCCCAATGGCAACATCTTTCAATGCATTTTTGTAATTCAAATAGATCAGGTTTTTCAAGGTGTTGCTTCTTGTTGGCATGTTGTGGTTTTTTATAATTAAGGGATGTTAATTGAATTTTTTCCTGCAGAACAAAATGACAATAAATATGTCTGACAGAGATGAGCTGTACAAGAAATTACTGAAATCAAAAGAGCAGGTATCATGTTTTTTTTTAGAGGGGGGGGGGGAAGATGTTTTGAATATAATCAGAATTTCTGTAAAGGTAGTTATTAAAGCTGTAGGTCACAGTGATGATCCCATTGATACTGCCTTTTGTTTAATCCTCTGTTATTTGGCGTAAAGAAGCATAATTATACCCTGAAACTCAGAAACTTCATGTGAGATATGTAATCTCTTGAATAGTCTTCATAAGCCCTGTTGCTCCTTCACGATATGTTTCTTGCTTTCTCTCTCATGTTTTCTTTTTTCTTTTAATTTTGATTTGGGAGTTCTTTTTTATCTTACGTAGTAAACAAAATCACGCATCCTCAATTTTCAATATTTTTGTCAAGCAGTCACTTTCACTCTCAGCCATAAAAAGCAGAGATCATGTATACATGTCATGGCCTGTGAGATCAAACCTTGAAAAAAGGTTTTGCTTTTCGTATCCAAAAGGTGTCTGATGATATTTATATCTTCCTTAGATCCTGAAACTTGAACAAACATTGAGAAGACAAGCTCTTGGTTTGGTGTCAAATATAAAGGAACAACGACAACTACAAGAGGAAATAAGGTGGAGCCAGGTAAGTAGTTTAAACATGAAGCCTGCATGAAATCTGAGGCTACACATGAGTCCTTGATAGGGTAAATTCCAACGGGTGACATGGTGTTGAAACAGCGACTTCAGGGAAATTAAAATCCGACTTTGAGCACGACATTGATGAAGTTGTGACAGCGACATGAGAACCCTCCGAAATAGCGGGGTGACAGAGTTTGAAATTCAGACGGGTGACATCTATCCCCCCCCCCCTGACAGGGCCTCACACATGGAGGTAGAAGGGTGGGGATTGGACACCAATGGAAGGGCAGGATGGGTTCAAACCTTAAATGTTTGAAAATGGTATCAGGGCAAGGGTAATTCGGGCTTAAATGTTTCTATGCTTGAGCATAAAGTTGGGGCTGATTGTTTGTCTTTGTTTTGTTGCAGATCTTTGCTCTTCCTCTTAACCAACATTCTAGTCAAACGAAAAGGATTCCACGAGTAAGACCTTCTACTAGGGGGCGCTAATTGTTATGTCAGACCATATGACTATTATGTAAAACTGGGAAATTTTTTTTAAGCATTGCTAGCTTTTTCTCAGTTGTTTGATTGAGAAATTCTTCCAGCACTTGACAAGTAGACAGAAAGTGAACTGTCAGCAAGAAAGCACATAATTTGCTACTAGTTTGAAACTCATTCTCTGTTCAATACGTCTTAAAAATGAATTTGAATATATGAAAATGATATATGTGTACTGTGGTCTTGAGAAATGTATGAAAGCAATCCTTGCAGTAATGAACACTACTTAATATGTAGTAGTAAAATTAAGGCCTGAAACAAATTCAGGCCAATATGGAATTTGAATCCATGACCTCTGCAATACCAGTGCAGTGCTTAACCAACTGAGCTAACAAGCCAACTGGGAGCTGGCCATTGTGATGGTTTGCCTTAAACTTGTGATGTGATGTAACATTGAATTTGAATTTATGAAAATCATATATCCGTCATGTGTACTGGAGTTTTAAGAAATATATGAAAGCCATCCTCACTATAATGAAAACTACTTATGTAGAAGTGAAAATACGACATGAAAAAAATTCAGGCCTGTATGGGATTTGGACCCATGATCTCTGTGATACTAATGCAGTGCTCTACCAACTGAGCTAATAAGCCATTATGTTGGTTCACATTCTTAAGTAGTGTTCATTAATGCAAGGATTGCTTTTCATACACTTCTTAAACACGAAGGCATGCTATAAAAGGAGCCTAAGGTCCCACTGGACCATTTGTCAATCAACTGTCGTGTGATGTAGAACTCTTAGAGTCAAGTCAGCTTGAGCTACAGCTACTCCAAAGCAGTGAGCAGCGGGCGCATTCCTCAAAATTGTTTTATGTCTTCATCACAATACAAGAATTTTTGAGATTTGTATTTCCTTTCTCCAATGGAAACTGTCTTTATTTGTGGCGGTAAATTTGAGATCGAAGTAGGTGGTTCGCACGTTACCTCATGCCACCATGCTGGTGGAAGTAAACAATAGATATCTCATTAGCTCCTTTTGTTCGTCTACCAGCATTTAAATTTGACCCGCACACGTCAACGGTGAGTGACAAATGAGCCTAGGTCTTCCCAGGGAAGACTTCCTTATATAGCGCGCCTTCGTGTTTAAAA